CCCCCCCCCCCCAAAAAAAAGTCATCTTTTCACTTGCACATATGTTATATACTGTACCATCCATTTTGGCTGGCAGACTGTGAATGGAAGGCACAGGCGGGGAACATATGTGTGGCTTCCTTTGACTGGAGATGCAGTGGCATTTGCAACTCTGTTGAGAGGTTGAAGGAGGTTCATCGCCGCTGCGGGGAAGGCAATAACTCCCTCTGGAATGCTGTCTTTTGATGTCTGTTATTCAAGCTTACTATTGTACAATGTCTGTCCATTTGGTTCCAAAAAAGTGGGAATGGTTGATCTGGGAATCCACTCCATTTTATTAAGGAAAAGATATCACCACAGCAGCCAGTCTACTACAGGAGCATGTGTAAACTAGTACTATTTCTTAATTCTTTGGTCAACTCAACTTTTCTTTTTACAATTTGATTGAAAAGATAATGAACCTTGTAATAAGTCTGTAAATTGTGGGAATTCGTTTCCTTCTTTCACCTTTTTGACATTCCTCGTGATACAGTGTATTGAACAATTGGTTCTGAAGTATGTAGCTGAAGTATTTATTTGATCATTCACAAAAATATGTCTTGGTAGTGATAAAGTAAAAGAAGTATTATATGTGCATGAATTTTAAACCTCATGTTCTTTAAATGGATCAAAGACGAAGTGAATATTTAAGGTTCGAACACGTGATATCTTAGTCAACAAGGCTATGACATCATCTCAAAGAACAAATTCAACTAAAAACTCAAGTTTATGGTTGTGGCCTAGGAAAACAGGAAAAGTTTTGTACAGTATATTCAAACACTTTCATCGTATTTGATTATTTACACATGATCCATACAATTTGATTAATTTATAAACTTTATTAATTGGTACTCCGTATTTAAAACTAAAGAATTCTATATTTATTCCTCTATTACTAAATATGACGCCTTCCGTCCCAAATTATTTGCCACATTTGTATTCCTGAGGCAAAATATCAAGTTTTTTCAAATCATTTTATTTACATATTGGTATAGAAATAAAAAATAAAATTTACATATAAAAAAACTACATGAAAAGTTCTTCGAAATAAGTGGTGTTAATAATATTTTATTTTATCAAATAACCAATGAAAACGCCGAAATAAATAAAAGTTCCCGCGACTGCTGAAAAAGCAAATGTTGTGAATATTTAGGGACGAGGGAGTATATTCGTGGATCTTTGTTTGTGTCTTTTCACGGATATTCTGTTTCTTTAATCTTCTGTAGTACTGATGTTAAATTGGTAGCTTAAAGTGTAATTTCATGTATGCCTTATATTCTTCTTTTCATATTTAATGTTAGAGGTCGCTGCTAATGTATCCTTTGTTCGTTTGAGTTGCCGCCTACCGCAACCGTACGTAGTCCACAATTATCGTCGCTTGTTGAAATCCAAGTTGGCAGCCATAGTCATTATTGTTCTGCTGTCTATTAAGCCGGCACCAAATACATGGTCGGACCTATGGTCAATATGAAATTACACTTTATGTCCTTAATTTAAAATCAACATGACGGAAGGTCAAAACAATGGACCTTTCGTGGAAAGATACTCATAACCACTAATATAATATTTTAAAGTAGAGGACTATGTAAGGAAATACCCTAGTTTTAAATGATCATTTATAAAATTTACTATGAATTAAACAAACATTATATATAAACTTTTAAAAAAGTAATTCTATAAATAGTCCCTAATTACCTGTGACTTTTTCATATTTAGTCCCCAATTTTAAGATATTAAATAAATGATCCCCGTTTTGAAAACTTTTTAAGACAACAACTATTAATAATTGGTCCTTCATGGACTATATGTGGAGAAAATAATTTGTCACATTTGGCCTAAAGGATTATTTATGGAGTAATTTTCAAAATTCGAGCACCATTATGTAATATAAATATGGAAAAAAATTGTAATTTGAGAAAATTTATTGAATTTTCTCCTTTTAAAACTATGCACTATTTATTTCATTTTATTACTTTTCAAATAAAATAAAATAAAAATTTTAATTTTAAAACTTGTATTATTATTAAATTCAATGACCATTAATTTTCTACAAAACTTTCTTTTAATTATTATACTAATATGCATTTCGCCATTTTAGTTTCTTTGATATACTTAATTATTTATAATTTTAAAAAGATGGTTATATAAGTTTTTTTTAAAAAAACATTTATACAAAGTAAAATGTTTTAAACTACTTTTAATCTCAAGCGATTGAATGTAATAATAATGGCCATTGCATAGTTTATAATAAAAACTAGGTGGTCATATACTTGCACCCAGCCAATACTTTAAAGTAGTTTTGGCATTGCATTGTGTTTCACACGGGCTCGTTTATTCTTTTATAATATATATATATATATATATATATATATATATATATATATATATATATATATATATATATTTTATTTTTTAAACGTGAATATATAAGTGACATATGTAGTAATGTCGTTATGCTACATTTTCAATATATGAAACATGTAAATTTCATACACATGTATACATCTAAGACAAACAGCAATCACTTGGTGCTCCACCTTTGGTCACTCCAAATCACCAGCTACTTAGTGCCACATCAGAACTGAAAAACTCACTATCTCACACACTTCACAGTCGTAACGTCTTCTTTTCACTGCAATGATTACTCTTTTATTTTTTATTTAATATTTATATATTTCTATTCAAAATAAATCATATCTTTTAAAATAAAAAATATTCCAAAATCCTTTTTTGATTTTGCTTTTTCTGTATTCTTTAATATAATCCTTTTTTATTTATTTAACATTTCTTCGATTTTCTTGTCCTATTTTATTTTTTTTAATCTTGTTTTATTTTTTCGTTGAAGCCCTTTTATTGTTTTTGGTATGCTTTTTATCGTGTTCAAACCATTTTTTTGGTTTTAAAATTTTTGCTTAAACTTTTTTATAGCAAATAAAAAATCACAAACTAGTTGAATTTAAAAGGGACAAAACAAGATACAATAATTTAAACTTACAATACATTTTGTTAAAAAAATCACTTGTTTCGATTTGCGATTTTTAACTGAATTTATTTTTAATATAATTTATTTTAGAATTTGAGCAAAGTTAAAAATAAATAAAATTCACATAATAAAAAATTACAAGTATGTCAAAAGCTCTACAAAATAAGATATAACATGACTATATTTTTTTCATCAAACGAGTAACGAAAATAGAGCAAAACAAGTGAATGAGTTTGACATTGTGAATAATAAACAATCAACTTAATTTAAGAGGAGTAAAAAATCTCCAAAGTCAAAATTAATTTGGACGGTACAATTAAAGGAATAGATGGGTGTGTTTGAGTCGGGACGGGTGAGAGAATTTACCGGAGTAAGAATCGTTAATTTTACAAACTGGGCAACGGAATACCCTCTGGTCAATCGGGGTAAAAAAAGAGTATTAATTAAAGTTAAGTAAGGATATTAAATTACATTTACAATATTTCGTGCTACGCATTTACGGAGTAATAAGTAACAAATGTTTGAGGAAGAAAGTAATACTCCGTACTGACGCATTAATGTGTATTTGTATGAAAATTGAATGAGCAATGCTAGAGGTGTATTCCATTTGTTCCCCACTTCCTTCTCCACCACCTATTTTTATCTACTTTTTATTTATTTAATTTTTTTAAAATTTTTGCCCATTTATGTGGTAATGGAAGGGGTGGGGACAAAGGTGTACCCCTAGCATTTTTCAAATTGAATACTCCCTCCGTCCCCAAATAGATTACAATCTTTTTTTCTCTCTCCTCTCGATAACTTTTGTTTATTTACGCGATTTCATCAAGCATTTGATAAAATAAAATATTCTTGTCGCCTCTTGTTTTGTAGAAATTTTGACGTAGTTTTTTAATATGTAATTTTTATAACTTATTGATATACCAATTTGTAAATAAAATGATTTCAAAAAGTAAAAAATTTTATTCCGTAACTCGCAATTTGTAATCAAATTGGGGATGGAGGGAGTATGTCATTAATTTTTACTCAAAAAAGAAAAAAAAAGGATAAATTGAGGGAATCGGCCTTTCTGGACAAGAAGCGTGTGATCACCTCTTTACTCATCCATAGATTTTCGTAGCGTCTCTCTCTCCTGGTTTTGTAATTCCTTACTTCTTGTTAGATTTCATCTTGAAATCAAAGTCCAATTATTATTCCCCGATTTCTTTTTTCTTTTCTATTGTTAGAACCCTAATCCTTTTACGATCTTCGCAGCTACGAAAATTTCCATCGATCGCCATGGCCAAGAGCTCCTTCAAGTTGGAACACCCCCTCGGTATCTCTTATTTTATCCTCCGGATTTGTGCTCGCCTGGTGTATTAATTTTAATTTTTCCGTTTGATTGGATCTTTGACTTGATTTGCTTTGGATTCGGTATATCTGTGTGTTAAACAAGTTGAAATTTATTTACTCCGTATCTGTTTGCTGGATTTTGTTCCATGATTTTTATTCTCCCGATTTTTAGGGTTTGATGATTGATTGAATTCAAGTTTTCAGTTTTTCCCCCCTATTATATTCCGGTTGATTAGCTTGTGGTACATGATGATTATCCCATGGGCTATCCTGATTCCTTAAACTTTACCAAATTCTATGCTAGTTGCTATGTGGAAGCGTGATCTCTTAGTATAATTAGTGTTATTGAGTACAGACTGCTGATTTTCTGTGGAAGCATGACCACTTTCAAATTGTGGATGACCTAAGAGATTGATCTATTTTACATCATAGTTTATCTTGATTACATAGTTTGGCATGTATTTATGCGTTGCTTTTGATTTCCATTATGCAGAGAGGCGACAGGCAGAAGCCTCTCGCATCAGAGAGAAGTATCCGGATAGAATTCCCGTAATGAAATTTCCATTTACATGTCTTACCGATGCCTTTTATTTGTAAATTCTTCTGTTTGATTTGTTCTTCACTCCATATCAACAACCTGTTCACTATTTTCTTTACAGGTCATTGTGGAGAAGGCTGAAAGGAGTGACATTCCTGACATTGACAAGAAGAAGTGAGCTCCTATTTTCTTAAGGTCCCATGGTTTTGGTTTTCTATAGCTGACCGTGTGTGTGTGCGCACGCATTATATACGGAGTTATTCTTGTCTCTAAGGGTCCGCTTAAACCCCACTCCTTAGTAGGGTTTTTTCTAGTTTGTCTTGGTTCTCAGTGAAAGTGTGAAACAACCCTCTAACAGCATTGAACGATTATTATTACGTTTTGCAGGTATCTAGTTCCTGCTGATCTTACTGTTGGGCAATTTGTGTATGTTGTCCGAAAGAGGATAAAGCTAAGCGCTGAGAAAGCAATTTTTATCTTTGTGAAGAACATCCTCCCCCCAACTGGTTAGCACAATTTTTCAGCTTACTTTGTGTTTAAGTATTCCTTTTCGGAGTTATTAAAGTCTTGTTTGACTTGCAGCTGCTATGATGTCTGCAATTTATGAGGAAAACAAGGATGAGGATGGCTTCCTCTACATGACTTACAGTGGGGAGAACACCTTTGGCTCCTCCTAAATCTGCTCTGCAGTTCAAGAACTGCAGACTTGTACATTAATATCAGAAAAATTTGTAAATCCGTATTAGATCCATTATGAACTTAAGAATTCAAAGGCGAGTGCAAAACTAGTACTCCATATTATGTATCTAGTACTGCATTGAAAAGATTGTGTTTTTCTTCATCCAACTGTTGGTGGAGCGGTCTTTAGTGCCTTTAGTTGACCGGTACATGATGGACCGCCATTGGTGGAGTTACCGCCAATGGAGCCTGGCTGAAAAGTACAATTACAGCGGCGTTACCAAATGCCTGCGGTAACGTTTGCCTGGAATTGAGGCAAGGTACACTTTGGAAAATGTTCCAAATTAATTGATTTTTTTTTAACATTATAATCGTGGAGGTTTGCCTGGAAGAAGCCGTGCCAGGAAGCCATGGTACACTGGGAAGTGGGAAGTATTGAATTCCAAAGTAGCTGAAATTATATATTCCAAGTTTACTATTTAAGAGTGTTTTATACGAGTACCTTTCTATTGTGTATGTTTTTTTATTAGTTATATGATAAAATAAAATATTCTTGTGATCGCTTATTTTGTAAAACTTTTGATTTATTTTTAAATACAATATGTAAGCTTTACTTTTTATTTACCAGTTTGTAAATAAAATCTTTTTTAAAAAATAAATTTTGCATGTAAAAACAAAATAGAAAGTTGGGGTTATTGTAATTTTTTTATCAATTTGGACACTACTCTCATACACACCAAATAGTGTAAATGTTGCTAAATGTCAATGAGATGTCAAAGTTGGGGTACAATGAGGTGCCTCTAACATTTTTTTGAAGGAAGACACCTCTAACACGATTTTTATAAATTATTTATATAATTATGTTAAACATAGAGCCTCTGTAAAGACTGAAAGTACCAAGTGAAAATTTCATCTTTTGCTACCAATATACTCCGTATGATTTAAGTCCAATTTACTTTTAGTAAGATTGTTAGTGTAAATGTCAATATTTGTTAAATCGTATGTACAGGATCCACAAACTGTCATTCCGAATGGGATAGGGGTACCACCACCCAGCGGAGAACTTCTTCCTTGGTAAAGTCATATTGTATAATTATAATGTGTTGAATAAAGTATACTTGAATCACGGCCATAAGTAGTGATTCTAGGTCCGAAGATAAGGTTGTGAATAAGGATGTGTGGTCTTTGCCTAGTATTTATGTTATGAGCCATAAATAAATATGAATTAAGGGGCAATGATTTGTGAATTCCTTTAATGATTGTTATGTGATGTTGTTAATGTCGCACCTGTGTGCATGATACTGTATGAAATTATGAGCTAGTGAGTTCATCTATATGACTATAGGTATAATCGAAACGTTAGATATTTCTCACTTAGCTTCAATGTTGACCATGTATTTCTTTTTTCCTCCTTGCTACACGTAGGTAACAAGAATGACGAATAACAAAATACCCCTAGAGGGCAGCGAGGATGAGGAGATGGATGAATGTTGGATGAAAGAGTTATTTAGTTTAATATCAACGTTTGAGTTAATTTGTTTTCAGGCGAAGGACCTAAAGCTGCGTTTGGATTAAGTACTTAAAGCTTTCGCACCGTTTTGAGTTAACTGTGATGAATTTATAAATATTATTTTTGGATTAAATGTTCTAACGTGTTTTGAAAATTATTGTGTTTACATGCTAATTTTAGTGACAAACTAATGCGTTGGTCTGCGTGTTTGGGCTACGCAAGTTGAAGTGTTACAGGGGATGACATTTTCAAGGTGACAATTAATGGATCGGTAAATGTGTATCGGATCCAACATTGGTAGACGCAGTGTCACGTAAGGAAACGCTTTCTTGGATTAAAGAAAGGGGCCTGTGGGAGGTGACTCTCTTCTAAAGTTGCTCTGCATGCTATTCATCAAGGCATTAAAGATGAAGTTTCCTCTTACTTTGGTGCTATTATTGAGGATTGTATTGCTACTATGGTTTTTTTATTTTATTTTGGTCAAATTTTTTCGTCATGCTTCTAATAGAATGACTCATATTTTAGCTAGACGCGCTGAGGCGCAATCCTGTTTGATGGTTGACTTCTCCTCAAAACTTTATTTCTGATATTTTCAATTAACGAAAGTTTTATTTCCTTAAAATCTTATTCTCACCAGAACCAATATATATATATATATATATATATATATATATATATATATATATATATATATATATATATATATATATAACGCAAGGCATCTCTTGATCAACATATTTTTAAATATACTCTTAAAATATATAAATTATTTTTTTAGTTTTATACAAATATTTAAATAATGGAAATTAAAACGACACCACATCGTAATTTAAATAGAAATAATAACTAGGAACACTTGGAGTAATGTTTTTTTAGAAATGCAACCCTATACAAGAGATCATATTCAAGTAAGGTCACAAAGAGATTTTAGTAACACTAGTAATTTATTAAGTAGAGAATAAAGAGATTTTAGTAGAAAATTAAAAGATTTTAGTAGCACTAGTAATGTACTAAGTCGAGAATCAATAACTTATAGTGCAGAATTATCAAAAAGTAATTCACGTCTTAAAAATTAGTAATATACAAAATAAAAGCTCGTAGAGCATGCACTGAGGGGAACAAGTTGGTTCTAGAGTACCCGCACAGGAAGCACCAATTTGCAAATTGAGACTATTTTTATCAATTGTGTTATTTATACAACATGACATTGCACCAATATTTTAATGATTCATATTTGCATAAAATATCAGTGGAATCATAAAGTTTTAAACTGATGTTTATGTTAGTGTGGACCATCAAAATACTGATACAAAAATGAGTACAGAATGATGTATAATACTCCGTAGTGATGTACACCTAGAATGGTCTATTTCAAAGCGATTATTAGGGAGATATAGTTAGGAATATATTAAATATATTTGTACCCCAAAGATTTTACTACAAAAGTTTGTATTTACATTTTGTATTAATGTAAGTGAGAGATTGATGCTTTAACATTAACACAAAATGTTAATGTGAATTTTTTGAATGAAATAATGTTTTGTGTTAATATAAATTATGAAAATGTAAATATAAATTTTTGAGGTACATTTTTAGGTAGAAGTTTTGGAATAGAGAAGATTTAGAAGACAAGTTCTAAGGTGAAGCTAAGGTCCACTATGGACCTACACATGAATAAAATAAATATTTCTTTACTACTTAGATAAGCAATTATTTTTTAAAATACAAATATAAAAAAATTATGTAAAAAAATTCACAAAAATGATATGGGTCAAGTGCACCAAAGAAGAAGGCAGTCTTGTTTTCAAAAAAAAAAAGAAGGCAGTCTTTAGAAAAGGAAAATGAAAAAGTGGACAGCTGAAAAAGGAATACTCCGTAATAAATAAGGACAGAATCGAAAATTCTTCTGCGACTTCTTCATTACGCTCTAACCTTCGGCGGGTCTTCTCCCCGATCCTCAGAGTCTGATCTTCTCCATTGTAGAGCAATCAGGTCAAAGCTTCCTCCCTGAACTTTCTCCCAGATCTGTTTTATTCACGTCGATACATATTTCATTTCCGATGGCTTTGTCACCATTCGCACACAATATTCACGTATTTTGAGTTTATGAAGGGTTCCTGATTTGTTAACTTTTGCGATCCATTGAGCAGTGATAAGAGATCTGCGCCGCCATGTTAGGCGTTATACGGCGTAAAGTTGCTTCTAGCGCCTCGTCTGCTTCGGTACGTGTATGGATATGTGTGTGCTCATGCGTTGAACCTACGATTTGTTTCTTGTTATGTAGAGTGTTGATCTTTATGAGTTGGACAGATTTTAGGAAAATCGTTGCGTACAAATCAACCTGGATTACTGACTCCAAGAGCATGCTACGTTGAGTTTGAAGAGGTGAGGCTTTATTTATCTAAAAATTCTTTTCATTGGTTTGATAATTCATTAAATTCTTATTGGGAAATGAAATTATTTACTCCATCCATCACCTACAAGAGTTCACTTTCGACACTTGTTTTTGTACCAAAAAAAGGATACTACGCACTAATTTGAACAGAGAGATATAATTTTGATCATATTTTTATATTTTAATAAAAGTGTTCAAAGATCCAAACTAAGCCGATTTGGTTAGCTTTGTTATACCATGAAATACAATTGAAAGGATTTATCTATATTTGGTGATCTTTAATAGCTGTACCTTACTAAATTTAAAAAAAAATTGTACCATTTTGGAACATAATTTTTTGTATGTCACAGAGGGAGTATTACTTATTTGTATTGAAGTGTTTAATCATCTCTTGATATCATCGCTTGAGCTTATTTGGATTTTAGTAGGCATGTAACCTTTTATATTGATGTAGACGGCGACTTTTAGATGGTTTTGTCGAAGCTTGATATATCATGTGTCGAATTGTGTTATGGAGCATATATCTTTTGAGTGTTTGAATGATTAACATTTATATTTTAATACCCATAACAATTTTTGGTACCTCACCCTTAAGAGCTAAAAGGTTCATGCTCAAAAGGTTTGAATGATTAATATTTATATTTTAATACCCATAACAATTTTTGGTACCTCACCCTTAAGAGCTAAAAGGTTCATGCTCAAAAGTTAAGGCTATTATTTTAACTGAGTTGTTTTGTAAAGCTTTAACCATTTATAAGCTTCTAAATGTAGGACAAAGACAAACTGAAGTTTTAATAATAATAATTGGATACATGTCTTAATTTTGAAAATAATAGAGTTATTACTATAAAAAATTAAGTCCAAAGTTTTTATGTAATGCTTTAGCATCTATCATTTGAAGTAAACCCTTATTTTCATTTTTTGAGCTTCCTTATCTATTTTACCAAACAGAGTTTACAGCTTAATTAGAACTAAGTAAGCTGTGTATGCTCTAATATAAGCTCCATCCTATAGATTTTGATTTTGAATTTGAAATTTCTATATTTGCGTGTAGTCATTAAGGCACTGTTTGGGAAGAGCAATAGAGTTACGCGTTAGAGGTTAGAGTTAGAGTTCAGAGTTAGCTGTTAGCTCTTTACATCAAAGTTAGTTGTTGGTGTTTTGAATAGTTATCTCTTGTTAGGTGAATATTTTAAAAAGCTTATCATGATGTGGGCATGCGGCTGGGACATTTAATAGTTTTCTTAAAAATACTTTTGATACCAATAATTATAAAATATACGGAGTATTCTGTATATAATAGTTTTAATGAAATAAAGCCATCAGATTATAATTGAACGATGAAATTCAATAGAAATTAGAAATAATTGTTGAAGCATAGCGCACTTTTTTTAGAACCCCTAATTGATCTTTCAATAGCTCCTCTTTGCTTGATATTGGTCGTCTTTCTCAAAAATTAGAAAGATGATCTCTCACCTCTAGTCCTCTATACTGTCCCAAATAACCATGGACTTGAGGATAACCTGCATATACTAAACAAAACTTTCCTGCAGAATAAGACATATTAGTGTTATGAATATAAATAGTATAATTTATAGCCATTAGCGGATTAGCCTATATAACATTCATAAGTGATGTAGAAAGATTGATTTTGTTATAATAAGAATTGTATCATTTAATCATTATGATCCTCACAGAAGCTTTCAATGATACAAATAGAGCTTTTTCGTTAAGATCTAATATAGCACAACTGAAATTTTAATCCTCACTGAAGCACACACATTAGTATAAACACACAAGACAACCCTTTAAGCTTTGATAAAAATCTTGAACTTCTAAACTTCTGTTATTTAAAGTTTTGGACAACCAGCTTAGGGCAATCATGCTTATGTTATTTAATCATCATTACTGTATGATTATACTTTAAAGCTTCTGTCATTGAAGCTTAAACTCTCACCAGAGCAAACAGTCATTAGTATAAACTTACAAAACAATCCTTTAACTTTGATAAAAAAATGTGTCTTCTTTTATTTTAAGATGAACATTTGAATTCAAATAATAGCATATACTGTTTTCTGATTCCGCTTAGAGTCTGGCAGTCATAAGATTCGCAACAAAAGAACCAATAAATTCATCAAAACCTTTCAAGATTTTTTAGTATTTTGTATTTTCCAAATTCTTCATGGCTCCTTAATCTATCCTTAGCTGTGTGTTTCATGGAAACCTCTCTACTCTCCGTGTTTGAGGTGGTATGGTCTGCATACATCTCTCATCTTCCCCAAATACTACCGGGTAGAACTTACTGGGTATGCGTCTTTTGGTTTTTTATGCTGTGCTTCATATTCCCCAAGAGATATTTTCCAGAGGTAATGACATTTGTAGTCTATAGAACCCAATAGCGCACTTGAACATGTTACTATCCAAACTGAAAGATTTCCTGTGACATTTCACTATTGGATGTTATTATTTGTGATTAGAGTATGGGTTCGAGTTGTTGGAGCATGCTTTTATTAAAGTATTGGTTCAGTATTTGGATGAAACTGATATGAAGAAATATGAACAGATCTTGTTCCATCCAAGGGCATGTGGTCAGGCACGAAAGTTCTCCCATCTTATAATACCTGGTACATGACATTAATGTTGAGAAGTGAACACACTCCATGCTACATTACTCTTAACAATGAACTAATTTCAATATCATTAAGTGGTGCAGGGAACTCCATGAATTTGCATGCACAAAGGTTGGTGATTCATTGTTGTGTTTTCTCAATTATTATTTATTTGTTTTTTTTATAAAATGTCTACTTTATTACTTGTATCTGAGTACAAATTCTTAAAGAATAATTTGCACTATATGGAAACTTAGCAGAATATGCTATATGTGATACTCATTGAAATATGTCTCATAGTTAGCCAAATAGATACACTGTTCTTTGGCAGTATGACATTGTATGTGAAGGTGACATTAAAAATTTTCCTTCAACATTTCTGATTTCCCATCTGGCTTGCAGGGGAGCTACACAATGTTTTCATCCAAGCAAACTGCAAATTTTGAGCAGGGCATTTTGTTCAAGTGGTGGTATGATATCTTATTACTACCCTTGAAGTATTCTCTATTGCCTCTACTCTTAATACGATAAATACAAAATGTCTCTGTTGAGAGTCTTTAAATTTTTGTCAATTTAGTGCTAAGACCATGCATAAGTGGTTAAAGATTGAAGTAATATTTGATTGCATATATTTTCACTTTCCCGTTTCCTTTTTATTGGTTGTGACAAACTTTTCTTTTTGCCTTTCTACATGTTACCCTTTGTGTTGGACAGTGTACCAAGTTTTGTGGGATGGAAGAAATGCATTCTGAAATTGATGGGATATTTACCTTTGCATAGCATCATTGCGAATTAACTATTTTAAAAATTCATTTCTGGAAATAAAAAATTGGCATACATCTTCATATAAAATTGACGAGGCAGATGATATTTATTATTTTATTTTGATAATTTGAGTGAGAGAGTCCAAGATACTATGTAGGAGTATTCTATTAACTTGCTTTATGAACCTCAAATTGAAGGTGTTCTTTTCATGTCATTGTTGAATCCTTACCCTTAAGAATTTTTTTGATATTTATCCCGTTTTAACTTTTCATTTTTGCCTATCATTGTGCTCAAGGGGATCTAGTTGATGCTGTAGTTCCATTTATGGGTGAATCCATAAGTGATGGCACACTTGCAACCTTCCTGAAGAGTAAGTTCACTTTTCTCCCTGATTGTATTCCAACTTTACTGGAGGTAGTAGTCAGACTTTTACCACCTCTATTTCCTCTCATTTTTTATGATCAGAACCCGGGGATAGAGTAGAGGTTGATGAGGCTATTGCTCAGGTTGAAACGGATAAGGTACCTTTTTAACTTCCGAGTCTACGCTTGAGAGGTCTGTTTATGTTCATGCGGTATGACTCTCTGTTAGATTATTTATACAATTTTTTTACTCTTCTTGGCCTTCAGGTAACAATTGATGTTACTAGTCCCGAAGCTGGTGTAATACAGGAGGTATAATGAAATTTATATTTATTTCCAAGTTTAATACTTCCTATGTCCTTGTATGTTTTTCTAATTTTTCTGTTGTGGCCTACCAAAATGTTTGTCTCATATTTTTCGTACAATAGTTGGTCATGTATGTGTGGTTCAAAGTCCTTCATATTTTACATTTGAATAGTCAACCACACGATTCTACTCTTCCTTAATCTGCGTGGCTACGTGCCACTTTCTGTTGTCTTAAACTTAGTAGCACGAATGGAGTATTATTTAATACCTGCTTTTAATCATAAATTGTCATTTCTAAAGATGGAGTTTTTTTCTGTCGTAATTCATTTTCCTTTTATTTATTCAATTAGTTTGTAGCCAAGGAGGGGGATACTGTAGAACCAGGTACCAAGGTTGCTATCATTTCAAAATCTGCTGAAGGTGTGAATCATGTTGCTCCATCTGAGAAGCCATCTAGGAAAGATACCCTGCCGCCATCTTCTTCCATTGACAAACAGAAAGAGAAATCCAAGCCAAAAGTTGAAGCTCTTCCTGTTAAGGAAACCAAAGCTCCTCCCCCCAAACCCTCTGCTACAGAACCTCAGCTTCCTCCTAAAGATAGAGAAAGACGAGTGAGCATTAAAACTCTATTGTGCCTGTCCATTTTATATAATTCACAAACCTAATTGACTGACCCCGTTTGATTGCATTTGTCAATTATATTGCAATTGGCAGGTTCCTATGACCAGGCTCAGAAAAAGAGTTGCTACTCGTTTGAAGGACTCACAAAACACATTTGCATTGCTGACAACTTTCAATGAAGTTGACATGTAAGTTTAGAGAACTTGTATTTTGTGGCTTGAAAATTAAAATTTGTCTATTTTAAACCTTTATTTCAAAATTAAAAAAGATGCTTTTAAGCTTTGAGCCATTTTCCATTTGTGAGGGGATGCGGTATTTTCTGTTTGTGAGGGGAGGTGTTTTCCATTTGTGATGGGAGGAAGTATTTTCCATTTGTGAGGTGTAAGCCTCAAGGTGGGGTTGATATGCATCATACTTTATAGTGATTTCCTTTACAAAATAAAACTACTACGCTTCTAAGGCATATCACCAATTAAATAAGTCATACTTAAATGTTTCAAAGGATAAGCCTTGGCTGCCTGACACAAAACTATAAAATCCGAAATATTAATGGAATAGTCTCAAATGAAATGTGGAAACAAGAGTTTTGGACCAGAAGAATGAAATTATGGATTTAAAATCGTCTTTATGCCCTCTTCTGAAGAATCAGCATGTTTTAGAATTTCAAATATATTAAGTTATGGTTCTTCAAAACATTGAATACTGCTAGAGAGGCTATTAGATAGCTGGATCTGTTGGAATAAAACAAAAGAGAAGAGTGCTGGGCCTGTCCATTCCATAGGCTTGCATTGTATTATTACTTTTCTGAAGTTTATTCTATGTGTGGCCTCTAGCAGTGATTCTCATCTGCCTGCTCATTTGCAGGACAAATTTGATGAAACTCCGTTCTGATTACAAGGATGCCTTTGTTGAAAAGCATGGGGTGAAGTTAGGTCTTATGTCTGGATTTGTCAAGGTATTTAGGGGGGTCTCGTCTTTGAGCTTATGTATTGCACACCTTGTAGTTCCAGTCCTAAACACCTAGTATTTTGTAAACACAAATTTCAGGCTGCAGTCAGCGCACTACAGAATCAGCCAATAGTTAATGCAGTTATTGATGGTGATGACATCATATACAGAGACTACATAGACATCAGTATTGCCGTTGGCACCCCAAAGGCAAGTTACAAATATTACAAATATATCAGTTGCTAATGAGATTTCCGTAATTCATGTGTAAATCCATCTCTCTTTTTTTGAAATCTTGCTCAGGGCCTTGTCGTGCCAGTTATCCGTGAAGCTGGCAATATGAATTTTGCTGAGATTGAGAAGACAATTAATGCACTGGCTAAAAAGGCAAATGATGGAACTATATCAATCGATGAGATGGCTGGTGGGTCTTTCACGATATCAAACGGTGGTGTTTATGGAAGTCTTCTGAGTACCCCCATAATAAACCCCCCTCAGGTATAAATATTCACCCTCATAGATTATTTTGCTCAGAAACGGTGGTCATTTCTACTCTTGGTTATCAAGTTTCATTTTTCCATTTCTGGTGCACGACTTTAGACATATTGCTACTATTGGCCCGGCCATGGCCAAAATTGGGATTTGAAGTCTTTGAACTCACAGAATGTGTACTAACTAACACTTGTAAGTCCCTTAATTGCAGTCGGCCATCCTGGGCATGCATTCAATCGTGAACCGTCCAATGGTTGTTGGGGGCAACATTGTTTCCAGACCGATGATGTACATTGCCTTGACGTACGATCACAGGCTGATCGATGGGAGAGAGGCAGTGTTCTTTTTGAAGAGGATAAAAGATGTGGTGGAAGACCCTCGTCGCTTGCTACTTGATATATAAATTCGTCCCCAAGTTTCGTGTTCGGTTTTTTCGTACATTCCCGAGTTGATTTTACTCAGATCCTGAGCAAGAAGAATAAATGTACTGATCCCCAAAGTTTTGCAGGATTTTATAATTGCTATGAATTATCAGCTGCGACTCGAACAAATTCCTCCTTCAGATTTAGTCACACTTTCCATTCTATTTTTTTAAAAGCCAATTTCTTGCATGTGTTCTACTATATGTTTTCTTGAAACGCTGAAGAATGGTGAATCCTGCATGCATTCTTCTAGAAAGAATATTTACCATTGCAACTGCATTTATTATACTGTATTTACAGTACATTGTGCAAAATTTACTCATATTTTCATTATCATTATTATTATTAGTGTTAATTATATTTTTAGTCTCTGTAGTTTGTAAAGTAGGTGATTTTTGTTTTTGGTTCTCGTAATATTTTTTTGTAAAGTCATCCTTACAAAAAGTTTTATTTTTGAAATGGTCATTAAGTATAATTTGCACTTTTAATTGAATTTATGCCTAGATCAACTATATTGATGTATGAGGGGACGTTTGTCGCTTAGCATGTTTCTATGCTCTTTAGCAAAGACATACGCTGAAGTTTGTTAGACGTCACTGAAGGATAAATGTCGGAATATGTTAGTAGGACCGAACTAGGATTGAATTGGTAAAACATGGATCGTATCAAATATGAGGGTAAAACGTGAATAAAATCGATATCGTATCGATCCCGAATGAATAAAAGTTTGATCATATAAATAAATAAGAATAAATTCTATAATTGATCCTTTATAATATGAGGGTTTCATATTTGATAATGAGAATGTGTATGCGATGATGTAAAGATCTTTCACTCATATATATATAATAATGTACATTCTTACACGTGAGTATGTGACATAATTCCAATAACAACATGATTCATAGAGGCATAGAAACTTTGTTTTAAAAGAAAAATTAATTACTCTTTGAATCGTGTGCAAGATTATGTGTCATTTAAATTTATTTCATTTATAAATTTGTATAGAATTAAAAAATACAGAGTATTACTTATATACTGCATATGTTCCAAAGTAAACAAGAGTACTATTCAAAAGGCAAAACATTATTCACTTTTTTCACCATTTTTCGTTAGTTATTAGATAAAAAGAATAAAATTTTTATAAATTGATTATTTGAAAGTGTCTTCAGCCAAACATCGTAAATTGAAATACGTACTTTAAAGTGGGATGGAGGGAGTATTAAAAAATTGCGTAGTATATCAAAAACTCTTTAAAACAAAAGATGACGCCAATATTTTATCTTATCAAATAATCAATTAAAGCACACAAGTAAACAAAGTTATATATCGACAAGCCAGAATATCAGAGGGAATGTTTAATACTTCCTCTGTATAAATTAAAAATAATGTTCTAATTTGACCTTTTGTGATTAAAATTAAAAACCTTGACTATAAAATTTGAAAAACTATATTGAATATTATTGTATATTAATATCATTTGAATTATCTTGAAACGAAATTTTAAAATGTCATATTTTGGTAAAAAAAATTAATGTACAAATATAGATATTAGCTAGAAGTACCTAAATAGGAGTAAAAATTGACGAAAATATCCAAATAGTACGAGTATTATTTTTGTGACTTAAATAGGAGTTCACATTAACACACTACACAGTGTTACATTGCCATGCTACGTTACCACCATAGGTCCGCTGTGGGTTGCTGGTGTAGACCACCGTTGGTCGGTGGTCCAACACACTCCACTGTCATGCTGCCATGTACAATTTACATTTTTCTATTAACATTGCCATCATTTAGACTTTCAAACTCTTATTTAGAGGATAAATCAATGCAATTCTATTTTGATATTTTGATTTTATCTTGGGTCATTTCTCAAATATTAACAGTCAAAGTCTATTGATCATTGAAGACTATGAAATGTCAGATGAGAGTATTGATTTGGACGGAGGGAGTATGATGTGATTTTTGTCTTGAAAGGTAATTCTGAAATACTAAATTATATTGCCACTAAATTTATCTATCTATAAATATAGATACTCCATTCGTCCCCAAATAAATTTCCCTTTTCGTTTTTTCTTTGTCCCGAAATAAACTTCTCTTTTCTCTTAAAGAACCTCTTTTACCCCTTACTTTTTCATACCCTACCTATCACATCATATTTTTTACTAATAATCTACATATCACATCTTACTTTTACACATCACATCAAGGGTATTTTTGGAAAGTCAACACAAAAATATCTCTCCCTTAAATCCTCAAAAAGTCAAAAAGTAAAGTTTATTTAGGGACAGAGGAGTTGGTATATGGTACATCCGGATGTACCTAGAAATGGGTACATCCCGGTAGTACTCATCCTGAAATAAAGTAGTACTCATTCTCGTACAAATATAAAAATTCATTTCAAAATATGTAGTACTCATTCTGGCAAGGGTAGTACTCATTTTAAAATAAAGAAGTACTCATTTTTACACATTTGTCTAATATAATTATAATAAATAGCGTAGTGTTCATTCTTTAAAAAAACAATACTCATTCTCAAATAAGGAAATGTTCCTTCTGAAATAAAGTATTGTTCAATTTTTTCACAATTAAAAAATTCAGTACCATCATCAACTTCTTCCTCTATTCGATTCGTTCCTACTCATTTATACTCTCTAAGCATGGAGAATTTAAAACTCAGGTTTATTCATGTTTGTATTGAATAAGAATATGATAATTTTCATAAGTGCTGGTACTCCTTCTCAAATCTGCTGGTACTCATTGTCATATACTCCCTCCGTCCCACTCTCTTTGTCCACTTTTGACTTTTGAAACTGTTCATCTAAGCACTTTGACTCATCAAATTCTCTCAATGTGTAAGTCTAAATATAGTCACGTGTGATCTTGTTTGATTTGTCTTAACATATAGATTATTAATATATAATTTCTATAATTTTTTAATATACAAATTACAAGATAAAATGGATTAAAGAAGTGCATTGAATGGTGTGTAAGAATGAAAGTGGACAAATACTCTGGGACGGAGGGAGTATAATAGTTCTCATATGTGTTCTGGGCATTGGATAAAAAGTTTGCAAAATTTACAAAAATACCAGGCTCTCCCTAAAGGAAGGTACAGCTGGATGTACCATATAATTTGCCGGGACAGAGGGAGTATTAAATTAAATTGTCGTATTAAAGATTGTAAAAAGTCAAATGTAAACCTTATTTTGTGACGAAGTGAGTCTATAATTCCCAAGAGACTCTTCCCTCAGCTGTTTATAGAACTCCCCAATGAATGTCTCAGCTCTACGAAATAACTCTTCTCCACTAATAACTTCTTCTTCGTCTTCTTCTTCTTCTTCAACGACCTCATCATCACAAGTACTAATGAAAAACAAGCTTGGCGTTAAAGGGCGGCATTTCTCCTCCACTTTCTTGTTGGCCTCTTCATTAATGATTCTGTTTTCTTGATCGGAATCGCTGGCGGCGGCGGCAATAGGCGGGTTTTCAAGGGGCGGCGAAAGGCTTTGCCCCGGGAAGGAGAGGAGGCCAGCTTCAGCACCGAGGTAAACGATGACGAGGTTGACAACAAAGTAGAGGCAGAGTGTTGAATAAGACAAGAGAGGGGTGATGATGAGAAGAAGGGTGGATATCAGAAAAAGGCTTGCAATTTTGGACTTGTTTCTTGTGTTGCTGCCCATTTTTGTCATTAGCTAGATTGGAAATGTACGTGTTTTTTAAATAATCTGCAAATGATTTGAAGTTCTAGGGAGGTATTAATTTGTCATTAGTCCACTATATATATAGTCCATAGTACTACCATCCAGTGGGCGTTGCACAGTTGATAAAAGTAGGAAGTGTCAAGAGGGTAGATAGGGAGGCAATAATGCTAAAGGGGCCCTCGCGGATAGGGTTCATTTTTTTAATAGTACTACCACCCCACTAAAGTTTTAATCTTTTGATTTTTTTAGTCAAACGATGACTCTTTGACTAAAAATTGTAACAAAATATATTATATTATAATGCTAATTCAAAATAATTAGGTTTATCTTATGATATAATTTTTATATGTCAAATTTATATGACATTTTTTTAAATCATATTTAATTTATAACAAAAACACGTCAAAGTTTGAAAAAAAAATTAAAAAAGAAGATTTTTCGGGGACAAACAGAGTAATATAGAACATGTAATGAATAATCTTATACTCCCTCCGTCCCAAATTATTTGCCACATTTGCTTTTTCAACCGTCGCGGGAACTTTTATTTATTTCTACGTTTTCATTAATTATTTGATAAAATAAAATATTCTTGACACTTCTTATTTCGAAGAACTTTTCATGTAGTTTTTTTGATATGTAATTTTTATTTTTTATTTCTTTACCAATATGTAAATAAAATGAATTGAAAGAACTTGATATTTTGTCTCGGTAATAGAAATGTGACAAACAATTTGGGACGGAGGAAGTATATGATTAGACTACCTAGCATATTTTTACAGAGTATATATATCATACATCTGGATGTATGGTGTTTCCCGTACATTTGCATAAATACTCATTGTCGAGTAACTAAAACTCATTTTCGAGTAATAGAATACTCATTTTTGAGTAACTAAATGCTCATTTTCGAGCATAATTGAGTTTTAGAGAAATGAGTATTCAATTACTTAAGAACGAGTATTCACTTACTCGAGAATGAGTATTCAGTTACTTATAACTGAGCACTTGTTGCAGATCTACGGGAAGTTCCGTACAACCGGTTACACCGTATTCATTGAAGGAATTCTCCTAGGTAGCACTATAAAACTAGGTGTGTATACGAATCGAATCGAAGCACTATTCGATTCGTATTCGATTAAAGTGATATGTATTCGAATTCGAATTCGTATATAATTCGAATTTTAAAAAACATTCGTATTCGATTCGATAGATATTTGACGTATTTGAATTCGTATTCGAATATTCGAATTCGAAAATGTTAGTAATATTTTTCTTAAAACAGATTTCTTAAAGACATTAAATTATTATTTTATAATAATGTAAAATGTAGTAAAAATATGTTAGAATATATATAAATTTATTTATAAATTATAATATTCGAATATATATAAATTTATATGTACACAAAAATTTAATATATTAAAATATGTACACAAATATTTAATATATTAGAATATATATAAATTTATTTATAAATTATAATATTCAAATAATTCGAATAATAAACAAATCGAATCTATTGATATTTGTATTCGGATTCGAAAATAATTCGAATCTAAAATACGATTTGTATTCGGATTCGAATTCGAATATAGCGAAT